AAAGACCAAGCTGACTTGGTCAAGGCCCCCCACAGGCCCAGAGAGTACTTTCTGGAGATACCACTTCTTTTTTTACCTAGATGGCATTTGCCAGCATCATTCAAACCCTATATTCATAAAATAGGGTCCTCAGGGTGGTCTTGGCAGAGTGCTGTGTTACTAAAAATGAAATTGTAATGATTTCTTAAAGGTAAAATGTGTTCATGGTACAACATTCTAAAAGTACAAAAAAGGGCACATAGTGAAGAGCAAGTCCTCACTGGCACAACCCTTTTAAACAAACCCTGTAGCTTTTCAGCAAGCACGTTCACAAAGGCATTCGTTGGGTCATTCACACAGTGTTCTTGGACCCCTGTCTCCTTGGCAGACAAAACTGCAAAGACCTCATCTAGAATGGAACAAAGTGGCAGCTCTGAGTGGTAATGCATACTGAAAAATATGCTTCTCTTTCCACCTGGTCCCCATCTTCATCTACCTGAGTCCTCCAAGGCCAAGTCAAGTGTGGTCTCCCCTGGGACACCTTGCTTCTCAGATGTATGCCCTCTGCCCTTTGCACCTTACAGCCCTCTGGCATTCCTTATACACTCCTGTGGACAGAGGTCAGTCCCTATTCAGCAGGATGCCCCTCAGTGTTGGGACCCTGGCTGATGCATCGCGTTGGGGGTGGGGATTTCCTGCTGCCGCACATTGCTCAGGGGATCGATCGCTCACGAAACTGTCATATGTTCATGCATTCCATGCCTTGACTTCTAACATGTATCAGGCAGAGTGACAGACACTAAGGCTGCAACAGTAAATAAAAACAGTCTGGAGGGAAAGGCAAATCAACAAACAATGCCAATAGTTAAATATAATTGTATGGAGTACAACAAAAAGTACAGACTGCACAGACAGGATAGGATGGGGCTGAGATGGTTGGAGAGCTTCTCTGAGAAGAGTAACCATATTGCCTTGAAGCTAAAATGCTGTGGTTTCTAAGCCACATTGTTATCTCATGTACAACTATGGAGGAACATGCTGCCCATTAAGTTAGGGCATAATGCTTTTCACCTAGAATTTTCACTTCTACTTATTAAAAATACTCTTTTAGACTTGAGACAGATTTTTTGTGTCACTTTTGTACATACATGAAAAGAAACATAGAAACACAATAAATGGGTTGAGGTCTTCCCAGACTCACTTCCTCACTTTCAGAGCACGAGTCTTCTGAATCATGTGTCACCTCAGCCCATCACTACCCATTCACAACCATGCCCTGTCCCCTTTGGGTCTTTCCAAGCACCAGTGACGCAGCTGCAGGCCCTGGGACTTTCAGCCGTGCTGCTGGTACCCATTCTGCCAGTTCGGATGCTGCTGCTTTTGTGTCTTACCAGAAGGTGTCACTGGAATAAGTCAGACAACCTGGACTCATATTCCTTCTTCAAGTGGCTCTTGGATGGTTTGTTAATTGAACACTAGGGGGTTTCAGTTGCCTAGTCATGCCACAGGGCTTAACAACAAAGTGCGTTCCTATGTGGACAATGACAGCGATGTCAAGCAAGAGCAACCACAGGACCCACACCAATTTCAGAGATGAAAAAATACGTGTCTTGAATCGGTGAGTAAGTGGGTGTTTTCATTGCTGTGGCAACTCAGTGATGTCACGGGTCCTCTGGGTGAAGGTCTCTGTAAGTATCCTCATCCCAGGGTGGCACTTCCATTACACTCGGAGGCAGAGAGCAGGGCGCAGGGTCAGGAAGGCGAAGTACCTCTGCATGTCAGGAGGGGAAAATACCTTTCCCCGAAATGCCTTAGCAGATTTCCTCTTCCCTCCCACTGGCCAGAACTGCACCATGTGGCCATCCATACCAACAGGGGAGGTTGGGAAATCTGTTTTTTTCTGACCATTTCAAGAATGGGGTAGGAAATGACTTTTGGATCTTCAGCTAACAGTGTATCCCACCGTGGTCAAATACACTTGGGATGCCCTGAGTTAAACAACCTGAAACACTGCAGGATTTCTCAAAGCTTTTAATATGGTGATATGGCTCATTGAGTTATGAAGAATGTGGTATTAAGCTTTTCCAAGTTTTGGGGAATCCAAATTTATTGCGCCCAAATAGGGAACCCAATTTTGTAGAATACTAGTAAACAACTCTTGGCTGTTCCCAGAATAGCAAGAAGACATTTCTCCAGAGCAGAGCCAAAGTGGCAGGGTGGGATAGGGCTTGTGCAAGATGAATGGAAATGAGGTTGTGAGTAGAGACTGAGCAGGGCTGAGAGGTTTACAAATGAGAGAGTCGTATTGATTGTAACCATCTTGGATTGTTTTGATAAGTACGGGCTAATTTGTTTTCAAGAGCCTTGTATCTGTGTCGCTGTGAGGCTGTGATTTCCTCTGAGACAGGACTCGGTTCATACCAAGTGACTGTTATCCCTTCTCTGTTCTCCCTCTGCCACTTGCAGTGACACTGGAGCTACTAGGCTGGCTGGCTTCTGGGGGCGGAATTGAGTGCTTTGCCAAAGTGGACATGGCTGGTGCCTGCTGCTACTTTCTCTCAGATGCGCTGCTCAGCATTTTCAAGGGCTGGCTGACCACCAGTGGAGCATTTAATTGGACTTGGGGTCATGAAGCTATTCCTGGTCCTTTGACCAGAAGTGCTGTTTCTGTTTTTTATTTTAACAGCAATCTGTGTGTCTCAGGAAGCAGCAACCATATCATCATCATCATCTCTGACATTTTTTGAACACTTACTATGCACTGGGTTTTGTGATGGGCATCTTACGGGCATAATCTCATCTAGTCCTACCACCATCCTCATCCTGCCATGGGGTGCTCCTCTGCAGAGAATACTGAGGTGGGGAAGGGTTAAGGTCATCCAGCTGTTAGTGATAGGACTGGAATTTGAATCCAGGTCTGACTCTAGAACTGTTCTTACTCTGCACTTTATGTACCTTCTGGCCTGGTACGTGTGTGTTTATTTGTACATTTGTCTTTTTACATTTTGCCAGAAATCGAGCTGTATTTTTGGTATTTCCTAATAATGCCCAGCACAATGTCTTGCCCATAGAACATCCTTGATAAATAATTGTTGAACAGATAAATGAATAAGTGAGAGGATCAATGAAAGGGCAAGTCAGAGAGTGTTTTTTCTGGAATGTTAACCTAACATTGAATTACTCCATTATATGTATCAGAACATTTCCCCCCTCTTTTCAGAGTTATTATTCTTCAGTCATCTCATTTCTTCTAAATTCTAAATGTCATCTAAGATGTTCCTGAGTAAATAATGATGGACCATTGGCTGATAGATTTGGAGGGGATTGTGTCCATTTTCTTGGCAAAGACCACCCAGCTATTAATGTCTGGAGGGTGAGGTCTCTTGCCTACTATCGTTCCAGAGAGTGTCTGAGGCAAGTAGGGTGATCTCTGTCTTTTCTCACATCACGTCCTCCTAACACCCCTCTGCCTAGATTTATAATTCTAATTGTATATATCTCTGTATTTAAATTGTATTATTTAAATGATTTCTTTTTGTTGTTGTTAGTTTCCTGGAAACATGATATTTATATCATTGGTAGGTTGAGAACTTATCTTTTCTACATTTTCATGCATTTCTGCTTTATTCTGACATTTCTAAACCAGTCTGCAAGCTCCTTTTGTTTTCCCTCTAATGACCTCATTCTGTGTTTGCTTCTTTATCGAGTTTCCTCCTTTATCCAGATGGCTTTCTCACTGAAATCACATCAGAGAATTGCTATGCTTTCGTACCCATTTTCCCTGCTTTTTGTTTTGTGAAGTCTTCTGCCATCTGTGAAAGCCTCTTACTATGCTGCTGTGGCTCTCATTGGTTTCATGCATGCCACCCCAGCCCAGAGCGGTCTTGTTAGCTCTTCTCGTCGATTTTGTGGTTCTGTTAGTGTCACCAAGGTGTCCAGTCCTCCAGGACCGTTCTTTCCTTCATTATCCAAATAGTACACCCCTGCACCCCCTGCTGTCCCAGTTCTGTGGGAAGCCTGCAGGCCCTCCAGTATGTCAGAGGATGCCCACGTTCATCCATTTGCTGCTTGCCTGTCACATTCTGCTTCAATCCCAACCCAATTCTCAATAACCTGTCTCCTCCTAGTCCCCACCCGCCTCAGGTTTCCTTCCTCACCAAACTCAAGTCTCCATCCCCAGCCCCTGAGGCGCCCCCACAGCAGGCTGCCGTCCCTGAGCCTCCTTTATGATCCTTTTCACTCTGACACAGATTCTCTTGTCCAGACAACAAGGACATTTCCTTTCATAAGTATAATGGATTGATCTTGCTTTTCTAACAAAAGAACAATTTCCCCCTGAGATGAATTCTATGACTCCCCCAGAATGTGAAATGATTACAGTCAGCAGGACTTTTTTTTTAGTATTCCTGATTCATTACCTTTTGGGTATTTTATGAAGCTCAAATGCGACAGTGGAAGTAAATGTGCCTCATAAACAGTAACATGAACAGAGAGAAGAAATTGCTGTAGTCATACATTTTAAGAAGTACGTATGTATTTTATTTCCTTCGAGAAGAGTAAGGACTGAGCGCATAGATTATTAGGTTTTGATTTTCCTACCAGACTCTTGTGTACTGGAAACTGAGACAAATGTTGCCATGTAAGGATTTTATTTATGTAAAGCTGGGGCATCAACAAACAATGCCTCCAGAGTAGGAACCACAGCCTGGTTTCTGAGGCCCTGTGTCTGCCTGAGGCTGCGGCCCATCTTGGAGTGTCTGAAGGAGAGGAAGGAGCTGGGAGCCAGAGGAACATCGCTGAGCCCCTCAGGAGGCCCTGGAATGTTCCAGGCCTTCACCCTCCCAATGTTTCCAGCAGGTGCACTAGTACCTGCCCCTCTGTCGGCAGAGCCCTTCCAGGTCTTGGTTTCCGCCTTGCCAACTGTCAGAGCTCCCTCTTGGCCTTTGTTGTGTCTGCCCCCCACTGCTGCCCTGGTATGTGGGCCAGGTCTCTGACATGTCCCCCTCCTGTGTTGTGTCCAGGGACAGGGTGCCTTATCAGAGAGACTCCGGAGCTTCAGCATGCAGGACCTCACCACCATCAGGGGTGACGGTGCCCCTGCTCCCTCAGGCCCTCCCCCACCGGGCTCTGGGCGGGCCAGCGGCAAACACGGCCAGCCTAAGATGTCCAGGAGTGCTTCTGAGAGTGCTGGCAGCTCAGGTAGGTGTCGCTTCACTGCCCTTTTTCCCACCTGGCAGGACTGTCACTGAGAGAGGCCCAGTCCATCATGTGGCATGTAATTGCTACCAACACAAATGTCCATTTGACCATGGGGCCGGGCACCCCCCAGGCCCAGATATGAAGCTGGCCTGGGGACTCTGGTCAGGTGCAAGGTTAGGTCACCTGCTGCCTCTGCCATCTGATTGTCTGGGAAATTGGCACTGGTTGGAATCAGGCCTAGAGGCAGCAGGCACAGCTGGACCTGGACCCAGGTGTCTTTCTCTGTGCCCTTCCTCTCTGACCCCACACTCCCAGAGGGCTTATGTGTCCTGTCTCCCCCTACCCACCAGGGCTGATGGTTCTCCTGGTCCTTTATCCCCACACACGTTTCATGTCCTCTCTATTTCTGCTGTCTTCCGTGGGCCCATATAGGGATTGACCCAGAGACCTTGTTCGACATGTGAGTCCTGGGCCCCAAAGGATTCAGTAGGTCTGGGGTAAGACCCAGGTGTGTGATGCTATTGAGGTGCAGCCACATTCGGGACCCACTGATGCCTGATCCATCAGTGGGCTTCAGGCTGTGGAGAGTAAAGGCATGGATTGGGTGCACAGAGCTGGGCTAGGACTCATGGTTTTCCAGATCATTTCTTGGAGAGATTACAGGGACCTTGGCTCTCAGGAGCTGAGCACTCCTGCTGCCAGGTGAGGGTGGAGGGTGGAGGGGGTGCAGGGGACAGTTCCCGACACCCCTCCATTCCTCACCCTTGGTGGGAAATTGAGCCTCAGTGGGAATTGGGCCACTCTCAGAGTCTGTGGCTATAATGTGTGCCTGGTGGCTGCCCTGCCCTTAAAGGCAGAAACAGGGACACCAGGCCCCCTGGGCCCTGACCCTATGCTGTGAGGTGCAGCCTGCAGGGGGCACCTCAGCCCCGTGCCTCAGGGACCCCACCTGAGTTTGGGGGTCCTAGACACGGGTGAGGAAGCAGGAGCCCTGCGGATGCTTATCTTGCTCCCTGCTGGGCAATGGGCAATGGCTTGGAGCCAGCCTGCCCTCTGAGGAATACCCGACCTTACCAGGCCTGGTTTGAGGACTGTGCCTTTTTTCTGGAGAGGCCGTGTTTGAACCCTGGGAGTGTTGGGGAGGTAGAGGATTGGCCTTGGGGGTGAGGTCCATCTCAGGGAGCAGCTATTTCCTGACGGACTCACCCCCCCTACACACCCACTCAGGGGAATTTAGGATGGAATCCCAAAAGGCTAGGGAGGAGGGACCTCGGGGACCGCTCAGTCTAACCCTGTGAATTTACCAATGAAGAGATGAAGACCCCAGGAAAGGAGCTGTCTCCAGGACCGCCTGCTAGTGGCGCTCTCTTGTGGCCTCCTGCCTCCTCAGCCAGTGCCCTCTGTCCACTCACTCACTGACCATCCAGGTTTCCTTGGGCATCTACAGTTTCTGACTTACTTGGCTCTGTCCCAGAAATAGGGGTACAAAAGGGAAGTAGGTATTGCCTCCATCTCTGGTCGGCTTATTGCCTACCAAGTCTCAAATGAAAGCTGTCATTTGGAAGGAAAGAGCCCCAGTCCTGTTGAAGCTCAGAGGGCAGAGCAAGAACCAGTGGGTAAAGTTGCAGGGAGTAGCCACGTAGGAGCCTCTCTGCCTCTCAATTCCTTGTCTGTACCAAAGAAACGACAACAGCCACCTGTAGTGTTGTTGTGAGGATTCAAATGAAATAATCCCTCGAAAAGTGCTTAGGATCCTGCCTGGCACTCTGTGCGGTAGCTGCTATTAGTGTTCTTATTATCAAACTCATCTCCAAAAACACTTTTTAATATGAAATTGGCCAGGAGAGAAATGGGCTGCCTCGGGAGGTCGCGAGATCTCTGACAGTGGAAGGGCCCCAACCATAGCTGAATGGTCATGTCCAGGGCTCTCGGCAGGGACTCCTGCTCTGGTTAGAAGTGGGCCTAGGTGGGCCCATAGGGTCTTTGCCTCTAAGATTCTATGTTGTCGTTATGGAGGGAGCCAAGTGGAGGAAGTAGGTCATGCGCGGTGCCAGGGCCACACTGGGTGGGGAGTCCAGGTCTCCTGCCTGGACCTCCCCATGGTGGGTTATTTAGGGCAGGCTCAGAACTGGGAAAGTGAGGAGTCTGGTGGGGTCTCAAAGGCAACGGGAAGCATCTCCAGGGCTTTGAACATCTTCCCAGACCAGCACCAGGTAGAAAGGGGTTTGGGATGATTGATCTGTGGCTGCTGCCTTCCTTGAGCACTGATGTCCTCAGCCATGCCCTGGAGAGCCAGAGGTTCTGGTTGCAGGCTGAGCAGGTGGCATGTGTGGAAAACCTGCTGTGCTGCAACTTGACCCAGTCTCGTCACTGCCCTGCCCTTGGCTGCAGCCCCCTTGATTTCAGGGGCAGAGAAGCAAGGTGCTGACCCAGCAGGAGGCCAGGGACCATGTAGCACCCAGCTGTTCTGAGGCTAAAATAGAAGTCATCTCAGAAAGAAAGACAGGTGAAAGAGAGCCCATACCAGAGGCTCTGGGGCTGTTGTAACCCCTGAGCTGAGGGTCGGATGTCTGGGAGGAAGTTTTCAAAGGAAGCCAAGCACACACAGCTTGTGTGCCTTTCCAGCCCCTGGTGTAGGCCTCAGCCACCAGGCATGGTCAGGTAGAGGAAAGGGCCCCCTGTTTGGGCTGCCATCCTATCTGGGTGACCCAGGGCCTGTGCACAGAAAAGCAAAATGCAACACAGTGATACAGATGTCACAAAGCAGTCACTCCACTTGTTCCCACCAGGCCCAGACTCAGCCTCAGAAGCTTTCTCAGAATGATACCCCAGGCTGTCACCACCAGGGGGTTTGACCTTGGCACAGGGCATGAGCCCAATGCCCTTCAGCTTGCTCTTCGGAAAAAGGGCACAGTAATCCCGATTTAGCCTTCATTGAGAGTCGCGAGGGGAGCAAACAAGATAATTTGCAAACCCTGGAAGCCTGGCAGTTGGTGAAGACAGCCTGGGAGAAGACAGGTAAAGGGGTGGCTGTGCCACATGGAGCAGCCAGGGGAAGCGACAGTTTCGGTATACATACAGGTAGATCTTGAAACATGATGCCTAGTGAAGAAAGTGCAAAACACAATGAGATATTATGTTAGAATCTGTGTGAAACAAAAATATATAGCTATGGTATGAAATAACAGTATGGATTTAGCAAGAACACATTGCCCTCCCTGCAGAATGAGCTGGGAGCTGTTTTGTCAGGCATCACTTACTGAAAGCCTGGCATAGAACCCCAGGAAGCGTACAAAGGGAACTGAATGAATGAATGTGAAGATAGTCAGCATGTATTTAGTGAGTACCCCCTGTATACCAAGGCCCATATGGACACCAAGACCAATGGCATGTGCAAAGCAGCAGCCAATTAGACCTTCAACCAAATGGCCAGATGCTGAGCACTTTGGGGATTCAGAGGTCGGTCTGAGAAGGTTTTCTGAACTGGTCATTCTGCACCGGAAGGCATAGAGAGGATGGGTGACTGGGCAAGTGCCATTGGAATTACTTCTCAGGGGAAACTTTGGCCCCATCCTCTGCCTTCCCTAGAGCTCAGGACATAAGGACTGACCTCCGTAGGCCAGGGCATTTTCGAAGCACCTGAGAAGAAGCTGAATCTGGAATGATTCCCTCCCCCAGCTTGGTGTCTCTAGAGACCCACATTCCTGGGACCTCTATGTCGAACACACTGGACTCCCCACTCCTCACTGGGGCCCCCCTGCTTGCCAGGGGCTGGTTCCTGTCAAGTGGGGGATATCACTGATGGTGTCCCCCATCCCCACAGTGTGTACCTGCTGTTCCACCTGCAGGACCCGGAAAGGTGAGTAACCAGCCAGCATCTCTACAATGTGGGTGCTAACCGTGAGCTGGTGCCTGACCTTGGGGCTCCCTTCCAGCTGCATGGTCTGGGGAAGGGGTCAGGAGGTTAACTCCTTAAAATGACAAACACATATTATTGTGCAGTGTCTGAAGGATAGGAGTTTGAGAGCAGCCTATCTAGGTGGTTCTGGCTCAGGGCCTATAAATAGTTGAGTCAAGATGTCAGCTAGGGCTGCAGTCATCCAAAGGTTTGACTGAGCCTGAGAAATCAACTTCCAAGAGCCTCTCTTATGGCTGTGGGCTGGAGGCCTCTGCTCCTTACCGCATGGGCCTCTCTGGTGTTCCTTGAGCATCCTTACAACATGGCAGCTGGCTTCACACAGAGTGCGTGATCTGACAGAGGGTGCTTGGAAAGCCACATACCTTTCTAACGTAGTCTTTGAAGTCACATAGAACCACTTCAGCCTTATTCTATCTGTTGGAAGTGAATCATGAAGCCCAGCCACACTCAAGGGAAAGGAAATTAATCTCCACCTCTTAAAGGAAAGAGTGGAGATATTTTTAAACTACCACAGGGTCATATTTCCTTGCGCTCTGGGTGATGAGGACACAGGAACTCATCCAGGTCCTCTGAAGTGACGAAGCCCCACAGTTCCTGGGCTTTCAGTCCTGGTGCAGCCAATGGAGCCCTGATCCTGCTTTGCCACTTGCTCGCTGTGTAACCATGTGTGTATCACGTAACCACTCTGAGCCTCAGTTTCATCATCTTAAAATAGAGCTCGAGATCCCTGCTTCCCCACCTCACTGTGCTGTTGTGAAATGGCTGTGGAGGGGCTTTTTAAAGAGGAGGTGGATAGCCTGGGGCAGCCAGGAGACCTCAGGGTGCCGGGATGAGCCTGGGGTCTCCCAGTCCTGGACAGGATTCCTGCTGTGGCCCTCCTGGTGTGAGTGATGGCTTGGTGGAGCCATGGCCACCCCACAGTTGGCCACATCGTTCTCTCCTGATCTGCTCCTGCTGTTTCCCTAGCTCCGCTGGACACACAGGGCTTTGGGATAGTGCTGGACTAGCCAGCTCCCCTTCCACCTGCACCGAGGGCACTCCCGCTACAGGAGCTGCCTTAGGCTCAGGGGGCGAAAGCATCCAGCTGGCGTGTGGCTGCCGCTGGTGTGAGGGAAGGGAAGGGGCACAGGCACCCTGGCTGCCTGGGCTGACGGCTCTGGGCCGCAGAGGCATGGCTCGGCCCCCGCACATCCGTGGAGGGTGGGAGGACGTGAAGCTGTCATAAGAAGTGTCTGGTTTTCTTCTAAAAAAGTTCTCAGTGCTAAGGGTTTTAAAGGTCTGTAGAGAAGACCTGGGCTAGGGGTTGGAGGCTTTGAGCCCAATGTGCACTGACAGTCAAATGAGTCCTGAGCAGGGGAGCAGTGGAGGCCAGCATCCTGCCCTGGCTCTGACTCTGACCAGCCATGTGTCCCTCTGGTGCTTCCCAGTCCACATCAGACACAGAGGAGTGTGTATATATATATATATATATATATCACATTATTTTGCTGGCCACCTAAAACAAATACAATGTTATGTCAGTTATATCTCAATTAAAAATAAAAAAGAAATGGGCGGCATGAAGCTATTTCCAGCACTGGGGCTAATATTTGGGGCCAAGGGACTACCTAGCTTGTGGGAAATAACCACACCGTCCACTGGCCTCAGGTGACTGATTATTTCTGTCTGTGCACCCTTCAAAATTCTGAGTTTGTAAATTCCATGAGCCATTCTGACAGTGTCTGATTCTGGGATATCATCACTTGGGGGGCCAGGGAGAGTGAAGCTGCTCTGTCCCTTCTTTCCTCACAGGAGTGCTCTGTGCTACTCTCTGGGAAGCCCTCACGTTCCCTGGAGCCTGGTGGTTTAAAAATTATGGCTGCATTTCCAGTGTATTTAAACAGAATTCGGTTGATTGTAGGAATTCAGTGGTTTGCTCTCCCTGGGAGCTGCAGGGATGGGGCTTGCTAGGGATTGGGGAGCAGGTGGGGTTTGTGGAAACCTCGGGCTGGGTTGGCCCTGCTTGGAGTCACGATCTGGGAGTCTTTGTGCCAGACCTCCCCTCTAACACTTAGTGCTCTAGAGTGTCTGCCCTGTCCCCCCAATAACCCCCTGATGGTAGGAAGACCCTCTGTCTCTCTGAGGCCTCAGTCCCCTGCTCTGTGAAGCGGTGGCGCTGGGCCTGAGGCCACTGGGCCCCCTCCAGCTCTGAGCGGCTGTGTGGGAAGGGTGCTGAGTGTGAAGCGTCAGCAGGTGGTGTTGCGGGGCTGGAGGCCAACTGCAGCACCAAGGCAGTGAGAGATGATTTCAGGGGTGTCCCAGATGCTCTCGTCAGAGGGACCCGCCAACCCCCTGAAATGGTTTTTGTCTGTGGATCTCAGACCTCTGGAGAGCATGCTCTCCCCACTTTTGCTCCATTCCTGCCCCTCTGTCAATTGATTCCCTATTGTTTCCTGCATGTCTGTCTCTTTTTCTGTGTTTCTATCATCTCTCCCTTCTGTCTCTACTGCCCTCCTTCTTTTCTATTTACCTTGTCGTGATGTAGAACTGAACCCACATTGCTGCTTGGAATTAGTCACAGAAGTAGATTTTTTTCCTGTTTTTTTTTTTTTACTCAAGTGTGTGAACGTCATTTAAAAAGCAAAGTCATGCCTTTTACCCTTCCTATTGAAAAAGAGAGAGAACTGCATTTTACCACACATTGAGGGTGGCCCCGGGGCAGTAATTTTCCTCTGACAGCAGCAGGAGCTGTCCAGAGGATTGGAGCGTGAGAGGTGGATGAGTGTCTGTGAGTACGTGTGCGAATGCACGCATACTCACTCAGGCTCGTGTGTGAGTTTCGTCTCGAAGACTCTTCCCTAACAATGTTACTTTCTCTCTCCTCGGTGCTGTCGGGAACGTGGATGTAAGTGTTCCAACCGGATGTGCTGTTTCCAGACATGTTAGCTGACTTCCCGGGATGGCTCCTGCTAATATGTGCTGTGTGGGTGTGTTTGCTAACTGGAGATTGTTCTGCTGCACTGCCAGGGACGGGAGGCCTAGGGCCGGGTGCAGACTGACCTACTCTGACCTTTTAGGGATCTGACACTGGGCCAGTTTTTCTCCCTGCCCTCCTCACAGACGGGAGGCGCAGCTCTAACCAGCGTGCTGTAGTCTTGCTGACACGTTTGCTAACACAGAATGTCAGCCAAGGCCACACATCCTTGTAGAAGACAGCGGGGTCCCCTGCCCTTTGCTAGAGGCTGCCCAGCCTTGAGCACCATGGTGGCAGTTCTTCATACTCAAGGCCGTGGCTCTCATTCCCTGAAGTTTGGAGGTGGTTGTTGAGGCTGTGGGAGTTGCATCTCCCACACAATTGTCCCCTGGAGCAATCCCAGTATTAAGGTGTGGATTAAATTATTAAATTGCCTCTTCATATTCAAGGAGCCCTGAGGGTGCAGCTGATTTGGGCAGGGGATAACCGAAACCTGGAGTAAACAGGTGGGGGACACCCAGAGCAAAAGGAAAAAAAGAACAATCAAGAGAAAGTTAATGATCCCAGGCTTGGCCCTTACTAAGGCCTCTCCCAGCCTACAGTTCAGCTTTGAAATTTGTGGTTAAGACAATTGTGCTCTCATGCTGCTTCCTGCTGGCAGTTGGAGAGTATAGCAGCAATAAATAGGAAAGCTGCTCAAGATTAGGGTTGGGTTGTTAGCTTTTCTTAACCCACGCCTAGTGCTGTTATAGTCTACTGAGGCCGCTGCTGATGAAAAGAACATAATTGGTAGCTGAACAAAAGCTCTGGTTTTTATCTGTAGGCCTCAGGGTGGTTGGACCAGATGATCTGAGGGCCCCAGCACTGACATCTGTGATTCTAGTTAAAATCAATATATGAAGCACAGGAAGATGTGTCTGTGGGTGTCAGATAAGCCAAGTATAGGCAGCAAATTGTTTTTAAGGAAATATTTATACTTCAACTAAGATAGGACCACCTGGCTAGATGACATGGAATATGTAAAGCATTGAACATTTAAAAAATACCATGCATTCAATGACGTGAATTAATTCTGGAGCTTTTCCTGTGGATTTAGTCAAGGCAGATTAAAACAGGAGTACTGCCGTCATTTTTGGGAGAAGGCCGCTCCTAGATTTTCCTTCCACTAGGCTCCTTTGCTTTTCCTGGCCTTGGCCTTGGAAATGAAAAATCTACATAGCTTTGCTTAAGGTTCTCTCTAAAGGCTTCCTGGCATTTTATATCCTGTCTTAAAGAATGCCAGGAGCCACATATGGAAGTGTAATGCACTATCAGTATTGCTGGTGTGTATAATACAGAAAACTTCTATTCCCCTTTTGAAATCACTGCTGCTATCCTTCATGCAGGAGGTTCTTTCCTCATGCTTTCTTCTGGTGTGGCATCACAGGTCTAAGCTGCAGGCTTTGACATGTCTCATTAAGACAGTGTCCCTCTTCTCCTGGGAAGCAGCCTCTGCTTTGGTAGCTTATCTGTGGATCCTGAAGCCCGGGCTGGTTCCTGCCCAGGCCCACAGGTGCACCCTCACTGCTGCGGTTGCCCTGCAAGGAGGCCCAGAGGAACTGGCCCGTCACACACTGGGGCCTTGGCTGTCCTAACAGGCCTGGCTTGTGGTGCAGTGTGTCTAACCTCGCCCTTGCCTGCCCCTCCTTGCTCTGATCCTCCTCGCTGTACTTTGTCTCCTCTGTTAGATTGTAAATGGACGATAAGTGGTTGAGGGAGATGTGAATGAGGGTGTGGAGGCATGGGAGCCTCAGGTCCAAAATCCCATCCAAAACCCGCTGGCGTTTTCTGACGATGAGGAGGAAGACCTGCTGGATTTCATGTACAAGTACAAGGCCCCTCGAAAGACGGAGTTTCCCTTGGAGGTACACAGCGTCTGGGGCTGTGGGTTGGAGCAGGTGTTTGCACAGGAGCTTTGCCCTGGAAATCTGGGGCTCCCGGGAACCTTATCTCTTGGGACATCCAGCACCTCCTGAGTGCCTGAGTGGGAAACTCTGTCATCAAATAGGCAGTACAAGCCGCTAGGTAACATTCAGCCACTTGCCAGAGGGTGAAAAAGATCCTACAATCTAATTTAGAAATAGGGGAGGTACTACAGTGTCTAAAAAAAAGTAACAGCTATTAGCTTAAGATGATGTGTGAATGAAAAAAAGCCCAAGTAAGTGTTTTGGGAGAGAAAAATGTGTTACATGGCAAGTTTTTACAAATAAAGCTTGTTCAGTGCTGTATCTCCAAGACACGACGTGGTAGATATTCACAAAATACTAAAGCTGCACAGCCCTTTAAAATGACCAAAACCCATATGTGTGATAATGTACTGTTGCAGGTTGTGGATGTAAATGGAGGTTTGGCAGCAGGACGGCCAAGCCTAGAGCCTCGTGGCTTTGCACTGTGGTGAGGGTAGGGAGTTGCCAGCCTTGGGCTCAGGTGCAGGGCTGGCAGAATTGGGGGACCCCTGAGCCTTCCTTCCTGTGCCCTATGTCTCCTGTCCTATTCCTCATCTGCTAAATACTCTGCCTTGAGAGTCCATCTGAGGAAAATGGGGTAGATGCTACAAAGTAGACACTCCTGGGAGACTCAGAGGAGGAAATGCATCAAAAGGTTTCTCTCCTGAAGTACAATGGCCTCTCAGCCCTGTTCACAGTAGGGCTGTAATTACTACCACCACTGCATGCATGACTTCAGGAGTCCTTCAGGGTGGTGCACCACGGTCAACTTTGAAGTTAGAGACTTTGGTGAAAGTTGTTCTGGATTTGGACCCTGCTCCAGAATGGGCAACCCCTCAGTGGGGAGAGCGGCCCAGCCCAGAGAGCAGGAAAGGTGCCCAAAACATTTTTCTTTTTAAGCTGCACAAATTGCTTTACTGCTAGACAACCTGAGGGAGATTACTAAAATGGTAGTGTTTGCTGATTCTTCTTTTCCTCTGTCTGGAGGTGACTGGTAGACATTTCCAAGTCATGAAGTTGAAGTGTGAAGACTCAGGATATGGAAGGCCTGAGCCTGCTTGGTCCCTTCCCTTCTGTGTGCCTGCTGGGCACTGAGCTGCTTCCTGGGAAATGGTGGTGAACATGGACCTGGCCTCAGGAAGGTCACAGTGTGGTGGGGGAGACAGCAAGCAGAGCAGGCACATTCTCAGGAGTGCAAAGTCCTTTGATGTCCTCTCAGTGCAAAACACTATGAAAACAGAGGAGGTGACCCCTGGCTGTGTGTGATGGGACTTCACAGGGAGGAACTCAGGAGTGACTTTGGGGCTGGGTCCTAAGGAGGCTAGAAAAAGCAAGACAGAATGGAGGGAGGGGCTTCCAGTCAGAAGGAAAAGAGGTGTGAAAGGCCAATAGAAACAAAATTTGAACAGAGAGAAGTGGTCACAGGTGGGCTGAAGGTAGGTTGGAGCCAGTTGTGTGATCCCTTCGAGTGCTGTTACAGGAGAAAACATTTTCTTTCATTGTAACAGTAACCCCTGTGATTTGTCCCATGAAAGGAGGGGTCCCCTCCTACATAGTCATTTATAGGGGAGAAGAGGTGGAACCCTGTATCCTTAAAGACAGTGTTTTCCCTTGTGTGGTTTGCTGTGCGTTAAAGGATTTCACATCCAGAAAGAGGACTGGAAATTTGGTGTTGGAAGTTTAAGCATGAACCAAGAAACACAAGGACAAACGAAATAACAAAGACAAGAGATGGGGAGACATTTCTCTCTGCTGAGTCATTTGTTAAGATCATTTTGCTCCCAAGGCAGAAACATGTGTCATCTTTCTGTGCAACCTTTTGCCTGGGAGATGTAGGGACTTAGGATCCTAAGCATGAGGAAGAGGGAGGCGCCAGCCGCCTTCTCAGTCAGCTCAGCTTCACGGGATGCTTGTGATGGGACTCTGATTCCTGTTGTGGAAACTCGGAGTGAGCCCGCAGCCCCAGCCAGCTGCCTCACAGACATCATTTGGCCAAAGGAGCTGGACGTCTCAGCACACACCCACTCAGGTGCTGTCCTCAAAAGGTTCCATGTTGATGCCAAATTGAGGGATGCCCTTTTCTATTTTCTCTGCCAGGCACCGCCTAGAGTCCTTCGATCTCACTTCCGGAAGAAAAGTACCTCATCCTCGGCCACTGAAACCACGTGAGTGAGATGAGCCAACAGCACCAGATCCACAGAATGTTTCCTCTCTGCCTTAAAGAGCTAGTCTAATAACAGAAATCCGCAGGCTGGTGTGCTCCGAGTGCAGCCTCACAGACATGGCCTTTCCTCTCTCCCCTCTTCCACTCTGCAGATTTTTCCCCTTTCATTATATAGCTGGGGAGAGGCTAAAGGGAGTGTTAGTGTGTGTGTGTGGGGGTGACATTTAAGTCTTCTGAGGTTAGTCATTTTCCACAATTGGATTGTCATTACAGACAGCAGTGTGTTTTTAGATAAATGAGAATTGCCCTCACACTGCTGAGATGTACATTTGTAATTTATTTGTTGCATACTTTGTTTTTAGTCCTGTAAACAGAGCAATTTTTTAAAACTTTTTTTTTTGTTCTTGGTACTAATACTTTGGACTACGGTGTACATATTTGTGGCTTGTGGCTTATTAGAGTCGACAGCAAGGGCTGCCAGAGGTTCTGATATGTAAGACAATAGCAACAACAGAAATGTAAAAATTTCTTTGGATTCTAGAGAATGTCTCAGATGTGCTTAAAAAGCTTCCAGACACAACTCCAGTAACACATCGTTTTTCCCACAGAAGGATGATCCGTATGAATTCTTCAGGCAGTTGCTTAGTAAGCACACTGGGGTTTAGAATGAGAAACAATATTTTAGTGATAGAGATGAGTGTAATGAGAGGCCAGTGTAACAGCCTAGAATAAGGAAGAGCTGTGGGAAGCTCGTCTCCCCCTCAGACTTGGGATTAGGAGCTTCTTAATCCTTGTATGGGAATTAATCATTGCCGTAGGCAGGTGGCTCACTCTTGTAAAACTCCTTGGGGATGTGGACTCACAGGGCTGCTGTGAGGAATCCTTTTGAGTGTTTCAAAAGTGCTTCACAAATATTTATCCTTCACAGTAAGCAGTGTCGTGACTTAATTCCCCAAGGAGAGGAGCCTAGAATCTGAGCACCTTGCTGAAATGAACATTTAAGCAAAAACCAGTCAACCAAACCAACAATTGTTTTCAGATATGCTACGAAATACATGAGACACCTGTGTAACAATCAAAATGCTGGCTTCTAGAAGTTTCAGAGGTTGAGCTCTTTATGGATATGACTTGCTGCTCAGCTCCACGGGAAGCTGTGGCTCACACATTTCTGTTCTCTTCCTGGCTTGTGCAAAATGTGAATGAGAGAGGTCACATGCTCACAGGCACCTCAGGTCTTAACAGACATTTAAGACAAGCTGGGATTGCTTAGTAGGAGAATAAAGCACTATCTGAGGGCACTCCCCTCTTAGATTGAGAATTTTATCTGAAAAGAAGAATCTGGTTTAGATAGCATTTTGGTCTGAGGTAGCTGCTCTCCCCTCAGGGAGCTGAGCCTAAATGTAGGACTCATGTATTGTGCGTAGAGTTGGTGTTTTCTTTCAATGTAATGCATGCAGTGGTCACAAACCAGTTACCTACATACTTGGACTGTGTTTGTTCACAGATATGCCCTGAAAACTAGAGATTAGTGTTACTTCCCACATAGAAGTTATTGTTAACCAGCTACAAACAGGCTCAGTTAAAGACTGTTCCATTACTGAGCTACGTGAATATCTATCAGTGGTCTTTGCTGATGACGCAAAGGCTGGATCTTCCCTCAGAAAGGATTTTACTTGAAGTTGATTGTTGCCAGATGTGCTTATTTAAATTCCTTCTCCCCATAATTTCTCTGAAGATGACTTTGTAATTTACAAAAGGATTTAGGAAAATAAACTAAAAGCAAATTCAGAGGGCAGGTAGAGGCTGGCTGTTCATTGTGCCCTAAATCCAGTAATACCTTAACCTGTTCGTGCAGACAGAAAATGTTTTCTTCAAGCTCACTGAGTTGTTTCAGACAGAAGAAAAATATACCCTTTAAGATGTATTTACTTGTTAGTTCGGAGTACCCAGAATTTTCAGAAGTAGCTTAATTTAAGCAGCTTTTTAGCAACTTTTTTTTTTTTTGCCAAAATAATAAATGCCTTCAGCAGCAGGGGTTAAAATCCTATTGTGAACTAGCTGTATTTTCACCATTTTACAACAGAAAGTTCTAACAAGTACAGGCTATCAAGTTTGCACTCAACTATGCCAAAACAAGCTTGAAGCATTCTGCTCTTAGACATGCTGTATTACTTCTCATCCAAGATTTAACAAATATAAAGGTGTCCAAACTACTGTCTTAATGTAACTATTTTTCCTTCAGGTGTTGATTAGGGAGTTCGTTTCTCTCTTAAAAACAGTCACTGTACAACTGAAAGCAGCTGTCATATTTCTGGCAAAATGTGTTTACTTATCCAACAAGCTGTGTATTTATGTGTATGGACTGATGTAAAATGTGAATGCCTCCAAGTGTACACATAGTGGCGTGGTATTGTCTAGACGATATAACTGAATGTTTTTAATTTGCTGATTTACAGACACAGGCTGTTTACAAAATGCTAGCTTGGAAGTCTGTGATTTTCATGTAATAACTTTTAGTTACTTGCCATTGAGCACCTGTTCTGAGGAGGTGAGATGTGTTGTACTTATGAACTGGAGAGTTTAGTCATAATCCCTCCCAGCTTCATGTGAATAGCTTGCTCACTTCGCTGGCCTCTGAAATGTGTTCTCTGTAGTAAACTGTACATGTGTTTGTGGTAACAGTGCTTGTCAACCATCATCACCATTGAACACCTTCCTAGTTCTTCACTTTGCACAGTATTTGAAATAGCAAAGAATGTGCTTCATTCTCAAATGGCACACAAAGAGTTGACATCCTGGATTGTGAGTGTGCATATTTCCCCTAGTTTATTACTGTAGTCCTATAGAATGATCTGTAATAAAATAATATACTGGACTGTGCATCAAAAGGATGTAAAATGACAGTATTCCAAAGGATGAAGTTCTGCTGTTTTGTTATAATGCCTGATACACATATTGAATAAAGTCTTAACATTTTTCTTTTAAAAAACATATTTGTAATGTTGGGCTTATGAGGAAGAGAAAATACTTTGAAAAATGTGGAAGGTAGAAAGGATTAGCAGCTGAGTGCTCAGCCACAACTGGCCTGGTGCCTAGTCACCTGGCCCCATGCCTACTGCACTGATTTGTTACAGTCTATGAAGTCTGCAGTCTTGCAGGAAAAACAATTAAATGATATGAGTGTTTTGAAAACTAGTTGATCACATAAATACACATCTGGTAGGTGTTTTTACTTTTTAAATTTACCAGTGGAAACTGGGAAGCTGAAAATAGAGTAATTCATCTGGCAGGCAGCTCTTACTCTGCAAACAGACCTCTGGCTGATCGTTTTCTTCCTTGGAACCCATTTCCTCATCTGCAAATGTGGGAGGGCACATGCAGGTTAGAGGAGGTGCCTGTGGAGGCGCACTGAATGGCAGGCAGCCTTACCACCACTGGGGCCCTTGCCTTTAAAATATGATCAGGCACACATAAGCTTCATTGTGTGATCACAGGACTTGCAAACTCGAAATGTGAAACATGGAAACAAAGCACTCATTGCCTTTAGAGTCCTATATTGTGTTTGACATGAGACTGAAAAAGAAGCAACAACAGGTAAACCAGCAGATTCAGAAGACTGAAAGAGAATGAAGAGATGGAAAGGCTCAAAGTCATTTATTTATTTACTGAGTCAAGTCCAATGTCAACCGAATAGAGATTAGCTAGGTTAAGAGGTAACAAACAACAGAAGAACAAAGTTACATTTAAAAGCTGACTTGGTACAGTATTATGAAATATTTTATTTATAGTGCTAGATTAGTCACTTGTTGATTAGATATTGTCATATACTGTTAGAAGACTTCAGGGAAATTCATGGGATTCCAAGAAGTTAGACCTAGGTTCTGCTACTTAGCTGTTGTTTTGCATAATTTACTTAACCTCCGTAACCTTCAGTTTCTTCAGATCTAAACCACAGACAAATAATAGCTCCTTTGCAAGGTTGGTATGAGTTCTGTAGTTAAATGCCCATCTTTCTGCTGGGACAAAATAGGTGTTCAATAAGCTATACTTTTACATACAGTTGAATGTGTTTAGGTAGACCATTTATTTAAATGAAAGGTGTTTCGATGCCAAACTATAAAGTCAGTGTCAATGATAAGTCCTGCTACCACATGCTGGCTTCAAGGAATTCCTCTTATAATCCTACTCTGACATGCCACAGAACCCCAATTTGGTCATCTTTTACCTTATTCTTTTAACAATAGAAGAACTTCTTCAACTATTATATTAAAGAATCTGAAGAGGAAATGAGGTGTAGTTCTGTTTAACACAGACAGACGCGGACTTAGGATGCTTCAATTCATGATTTTTCAACTGTCTAATGGTGTGAGAGCAATATGTATTCAGTAGAAACCATGCTTGGAACTTTGAATTTGGATCTTTTCCCAGGCTAGCAGTATGTGCTAGGATACTATCCTGTGACGCCGGACAGTGGCAGTGAGCCCCATCTCCCAGTCAGCCAGATCATGAAGTTAAACAACCAATATATTTACAACCATTCTGTACTCACCTGATTCTAAAAAACCATTGTTTTTCTCTTTCAGTATATTATTCAAGTACGTGAGACATTCAACACTTTACTGTAAAGTTGGCTTTGTGTTAGATGATTTTGCCCAACTTTAGGCTAATTAAGTGTTCTGAATATGTTCAAGGTAGTCTAGTTAAGTCATGATGTATGATAGGTTAGGCATATTAAATGCATTTTCAACTTAGGAAATTTTCAACTTACAATGGGTTTGTTAGAATATAACCCTGTAAGTTGAGGGAGCTCTGGGTGGTTTTTCAACCAGGCAAAGTGCTCTGTTTGTCTGAAAATGCTTCCCGGATGATTCTGAAAGGAGAGCTGAGAACCACTGCCCTAGTCTCTAACTACTCAGTTAATTTAATTTTTCTCAGTGCCTCTTACCAGACCCTCTTCTCCCACGGAACAATGCTGAACTCGTGTCATTTCTAAAATGATTCAGATTACTTTTCTCCCCTTAGTTTATACAATGCATCTTTGGAAAGTTTGAAAAAGTTTATCCTTACAATTAGAAATATGGAATCTAATTCTATTAGACTACTTTTCTACTATTAGAGAAGTAGGTTAACTTTTAGAAAATACTGCATCTTCAACTTTTGGGTAAGAAGTTGTGTTCACTTGTACAGCCTCTTCTATTTCATGAATGGGCATACTGAAAGACTATTTCATATACACCTTTCCATAAAAAAATCCTAATTTAATAAACTAAGTGAGAACAGTAATGAGCACAGTGAACCTAGTATGCCACAATGGGTATTGCCGTCCCTTGTCTACCTTTAAGTGAAACTGCTCACATAACTACTTTTTGCTTCATGTGAACCTGCTAACACAACCAGTGGGCCAGGGTGGGCTCCTGACCTAAGAACAGCCAGTCCCTACATTGGTCAATGATCCTTGATGAGACCTGGTGTAAAAAGATAAGCTGGAGTAGTTTGAGGCTCTTGACATTAGGAACTGGAGTAGGGGCTGAGGATCATGATGTGGAAAACAACCTGAAAGGTGCACGTTAGAGTTACTATGAGAGTTACCACTTCCTGTTGCTGAGGCCCTTAGAGGTGGATCAATATAATTTCTGCTCTTCCGGATGCCTGGCGGTTAGTTCTGGTGGGAGATGGGGCTGGTGAGGTGGTTCCTGAGTTTCCAGGTACTCACCCTTAAAATAATGTCACACTGCTTCAGTTAACTTGCTTTTTATAGTCTTCCTATGTCTGTCCTAACTTGGATTCCTTGCAACTAAATAAGCCTAACTGGAAGAACTAATTAAGCCATTACCATTTGTTAAAATAATCAACAATTTTAAACTCCTCTGTTCTTGAACAGATCTGGGAATATTTAATCTATTAAGTTTTAAAACTTTCATAAGTTTAATATTGGTATCATATGTTTCCATGCCAGTTGGCATAATTTACATCAAGTATTATACTTACTCATTTTTGCAAAGACATCACATACACAAATATACATATTCAATAACTGAGAATCATAAAATTTTTGGTCTATACTTTCAAGTTTGTTCGATCATGATACTTCTGATAAGGATCATCAGCATACCAGTTACGCCTCTTCCAGAAAGATGTTGTCATTTTATCTAAGAGCTTACTCTGGGTTTTATTGCAGAACACAAATTCCCTCAGGCGTCTTTTTCTTGCAGGTGTCTTTTTCCATAATTTTTTCTTATAACCAGCCTGTTAAATAATATTAGAAAGACATTTAAAATATCATGTTATATAGGAAACAACATCTACCTTCCCTACTGATGGTTTATAGGACAGTGGGAACAAAAATGAGACTTTCATAGGGGCTGTATGTTTTTCAGAAGGATATGATTCTCAGTGGGGGGGTAGAGAAATGTGTAGTTTGAAAAAGAAATATTAATAATTTAATATTTTGAAAAAAGATTATTTAAAACCACAGAAAATAAAGCTAAATAAGTCTTTGTGAAGCGAAGTACAAGGTAATGACATATAATTATAGTAGCTAACTTACATGCATTACCTTATTATCTCTTCAATAATCTTCAGTAACATACTACTATTCTCATTTTACAGATTAAAGAAAAACAACCATTAATTAGAGAAGTTCAGTAGCAGACTGAAGCCTGAGAACTAGTGAGAGTTCTTAATCACTACACTTCTTTTTCCTAACATGGAGGATGATGAAAGGAGTACTGGTTAGGCTGAAAACCTCTGTGTTCATTTAAGGGGGCTGATATTACAAGGGCTGAGAAGCATGGTTCTCAAAGATACTGCTTCACTCATTCTTTTCATCTACTAGGGACCAATTCTGATAGTAAGTACTTTTCTAAGGAATAATGAATACAGTGAAACTTCTTTCAAAGTGGTAGAAGGAATGGTTAACCCATATGTTTAACCCAGAAGTGCCATATACACCATCCATGCATTATTAACTTTGAAGAATTAATTTTTGAACAAACATAAAATTGTATTTAATATAAAAACAATGATCATAGCCTGTTTAGACTAGAAGAGACCTTAGGTACCACCCAGATTAATGCTTGATTGGAACCACACTCAGTAATTTACAGGGGAGGTGAGATTAGAACCCACACTATTGGCTAAGAGCCCTCGGGTCCTTTCAGGACTACACTGACCGAACAAACCCTAGCTCTTTACTGAGAAGGTGCCTAGGTTTTCTGACAGGCCCTAGTGTCATCACTGTCAGCAGTAAATTCTACAGTATAATGATGCTCAGCAATAAGGAAAGGTTATTTAAAGGCTATGGTTTTAAAATGCCCGAGATTAGATTTTCACTATTCATTGCTTACAATTTTAAATTGAAATATTCAACCCCAAATCCCCCTATTTGTGTAGAAATTTTCTAGTCTGCAAGCCACATTGGGTCCCTGTGGATCTCTGACTTACAACTAATTTGCTGATCTGCCCATCACCCCCAGTATCCTTTGAAGATTATTCTATGGAATGCAACCAGTGTGAAAATACTTGAAACTTGAGACAGTCTCTAGGTTCAGAAATGGGGGTGAGGGGGATATAAACAATAAAAATTATGGATATCTGGATGAAACTATGCCATATAAAATACTTTTTTAAAAAATACATCATAAATTAACCCACCCAGATTTTTTTATTTTCCTCTTAAAATTACATTTTGATGAAACAGGCCATTCTGCATATACAACACTTCTAGGGTCCTGAGTGGGGACTAGGTATTAATATTGGAGAATATGATCAGGTCCTTTACAACAACATGTGGGGTTCAGAGCATAATAAAAGGGATGTGGAAAGGAAGGCAAAGAACATGACTCATTTTGTCTAGGGCCAGAAAAGGACCTGAAAATAATCAGTGTGATAACAAAGGGGAGGAAATGTTTCCAATGCTCCAAAATTCACAAAATGCAGAACTATTAGCTGGAATACTTACACTTAGTTCAGCTACCTATGGATTACATGAGCTTCTATTGACTAGTGTAGGAAACTGTATTGTTCCAATGGAGAAATGATCTGAGTGTCCCAATCAACTTGTTTATTCACAAATTTAGTACTGTTTATAAGATAGGGGAGAATCCTTCCAACCTTTGAAATAGTGAGAAAGGCCTACCAATTAACTCTTTCACTTTCACAGAGAAACAAATTTTGATCTTAAAAGAACTGTTTGTTAACTTCCAAGTAGCAAGAAGGAATTTGGATTTGAATAGCAATCAAAAGTTAAAAGTGGTTTTACAAAATTCTGCTCTTTGACTGCTAATTGTCAGCTACTTTGTCTCTATGAATAAATATGAGAATGAAAAAGCCCATATTCACATTCATGACATACTGGGAGAAGACAGAGCAGTAGTCATCTGTAGTAGCCACCTTAGTGGTGTGGTCCTTGTCCCAAGTAAACAGTAGAGTTCTGTCTGATGCAGTCCCCAATCATAACAGCAACAGACAGAAAAATGTATATAATTAAGAAAAAATAAAGCATATGTGGGGTTAATGTTCTGCCATAAGGATTAAGCTGCCTGGAGAATACAATACAAGGTAGGCTGAAAAACTCTTCAGTCCCCAAATCTGAGCCATGCAATTAAGTCCTTGCTGAAGTCTACTCTGCTGTGACTCTAGGCTTAAACAGAGCTTCCCCACAGGTTACTGAGGAACACCAAGGGCTCCAAGGGGCTTCTGGTAATCATCAGTTTAGCCAGACAAGTGGAAGACCTGAGAGGAACCTGTCCTACAGTGAAAACTTTTGCCATTGTGAAAACGATTTCATTTTATGAATGCTTAAACATGTTTTCTTCACATGGACTCACTCCTATTAAGAGATGGCTGCCAAGTTGGTATTTATTTAAGTACAGCACTGTAAAAACTCTTGGTAAGACAGGAGGAAGATATGTCAATGAATGAGCTAACTCATTTTATTTTAATCTGCTCACACGCCTTTTTTAATCAAGTAACAGTGAAGACTCACCTTCCTCCTTAGCCAAAGGCCAGAATGAAGTCGAAGAAACCTATCGATGACAGCTTTCACAGTCTTTCTCTTGCCTTTTCGTGCGCTGAAGTACATTACATTTCTGACTGGTAGCTTCAGGACATTTGAAAGCAAGGGGGTCACTCTAAAATATATTTGAAAAATATTAACTCAGCAGTAAGACTGATTAAAAGATGAATCCATTTCTACACTTAGAAGAGTGAAGCAGCTCCACTGGAATAGAGTTGACTTCAAATGATCCAAGACACCAAGCATAAATAAAAAAAGCAACTATCACCAACTCAATCCCTATGAGAGAATTTATCCTATTATATGTTAATCATTTGATTTATTTGATTTCTTACCTATCTGCCCACTAGATAATAAATGCCTTGAGGACTTCATCTTTGAATCTTTTCTGCCAAGTATGATTCTGGACACTTGCAAGTGCTTAACTAAATATTTGCTGACTGAAGGAATACCACCCACAGCCCAGCTTTGTAAGCTGAGCATCTAGTTCTCCCTCTACCTTGGCCAACAGCTTCCATCCAGGAAACCACATCTAGAACATCAGCGTGCTCCCTCTGGTAGTCCCTGCTGCTGGGTGTCAATCATATTCTCCACTCCATCAGACAAAGTCTATATAATAAACTGCAGGTAGGCAAGGAGTATCATCTACTTCTAAGATGTCTTCACAGGCATGAGTATTTTAGAATTTTTGTCTAAGCCTTGTGTTTGCTGAAATATACTCTACCTATTGAGCATTGTTGCAGTATGCCCACATGTCAGGTTTCTGACAGATGTGGTAAGTCTGGGAGCAGATGAAACAACTGGTGTCTGCATATAACGAAACTGTCGGGTGGACAGTGCAGAACTAAGGCAGGCATTCTTGGCACAGTTTCCATAGGCTGAAGACATCAAAATATTCAGGGGCCGTAAGATTCCTGTGAAGACAGAAACATATATGTTTAATATTATGTTCTAAAAATGCATCAAGATACTTAAAATCAAGTAATGTATCAAAGCAACCAAGTGTACATAATTAAGGTGTCCTCAGCATCACTTTCACCTGTGGAGCTTTTTACCAACTTCATTCAGGTATAACTTACATAAACAAAATTACCCATTTGTATACAATTCAATGCTTTTAATAAACTTAAGAGTTGTGTAACCATCACAGTCTAGTGTGATGTGTCTAGTCTATGTTCAACACTAGGGAAAACCACATGTAACATCGATGCCCACCTGCCAGATCTCATCTCTGGTAAGTCAGAACTGACACACAGAAAACAATGGCAGGGCAGAGATACAAAAGCCTGACAACTCTGGAGTGACAACGCTGTGGCAAGAGAAGGATTCATAAAGAAAACAGAGGAGGTACTTGAGCTCTCCAGAAAATGAACAGGCCACGAGGGAAGAGGTAGAGTCCAGGTAGGATGAACAACACACAGAGCTAAGGAGGCTGAAACAAATACATGTTTGGAGTGGGGAGTGGATGTGCCACAGAGGCTGAGTGCTGCTTGCCTGACTGTACTGGCGATGCCTGGGAAGAAGTAGTGAGGACTGAGGCAGGGCAGATCAGAAGGCAGACCACGGGGGCCTAGATGTGGGGACTGAACACAGTCCTCTTTATCTATCATTGTCAGTATGGCCACACTGAGTCCATGGCTACAAAGCTGAATTGCTCACAGATCCCTGACACCACTGGGAGACTGTGATCAAGTCTAGTGTGGGACTCAATGTGCACATTGAAAAACCTCCAAAGGATAACGGATTGGGCTGATAAGTGCACAACTCACTAAATTTACTATAGATTATCAAACTGTACACACAAACAGGTAGTTTATTATAAATTATACCTCAACAATTGGTTAAATAAAACCTCCAGAGTGAGTCTGATGCTCAGCCAGGGCTTAGAACTACACCTTATTGCCCACTGCACTGATTATCCATAACAAATGAGGGGCACCATGGTAGAGGAGTGCTAGTGTTTGACTCAGTCTGTTTGGGTTCTTATCTTAGCTCTACTACTTACTAGCTGTGTGACTGTGGGCAAGTTACTTAACCTCTCTATGTCCCAGTTTCCTCAAATTTAAATGAAGTTAATCATGGGGAGATAATAAGACTTAGATAAGATAAAACACGTAAAGTTCTAGGAAGAATGCTTAGCATAGAAAAAACATTTAATGAATGCTAACAGATAATAAAGAACAGCTGAGAAATGCTTGGCAAAAATGGGATAATGCTAACAGATGGCAGGAGATAGAATACTGAACACCCTTATTTTGCTTTCCTGTTCTCCATCAAAGATCAATTTTCAAACTGAAAAAGGCAGTATAAACATTGATGAATTAAGATGAAATCCAAGATTCAGGAGACTGGTGAAAGACTCACACCAGGCCCTTGAAGTCAGATTTTCTCTCCTCAGTGCAGGCATCGAAGTCTCCATACATAATTTATATCCCAAAGAACTGAAAACATTTGCAGACATGATTACAAGCCAGGAGGTAATCTTTGAAAGATTAAATGAATAAATGGAGGCAAGAAAATGTCCCAAATTTCACAGGCCATTAGGGTTTGTTATGTTTTCAGTTAGAAAAACAAATAAATAAAAAAACTGACATTTTTGGAAATCAAAGGAAGTGAGCAGATAGAGTCTAGATCATAAATAGGTAAGCAATAGGCTCATCTGTGGGAAAAAACACTAGAATAGATAAACAGAAAGTGCACACAAAAAATACTGTCAGGTGGGATCAAACTGTTCCTTAAAAAAGGATTTAATTTCATTTTCTGATGTAGTCACTAGCCTGGGAAATCATGAGACTGTCTAGACACAGTGTATCCTGACTTTAGGAAGGTAGGTGAAAAGGTTTCTTTATATTCAAAAAAAAATACAGAAATGTGGTAGGATAATAGTAGTTGGGTCAATTCTAAGCTGCTTAGCTACTATCCCCAAATTGGTTGATTGCTTTTCTTCTGGTGAAAGTCTCTTTCTGGCTCCCTAACAGACTTTTTTGTACAATTTTTATTAAGGTCCTAAGGCTGCATAAGGTAGACTTTATCAAATCTGCATAAAAACAAAGTAGGAACCATGGTTTATTAACATATTTGTGAAAAGATAGACTATCTGGACTGAAAATGATCTCCATAGAAGAAAAAAACAGATCAAAATTAACAAGTTGAAATCAGGGATAAACACAAGGTTAGAAAAAATAGTTACTGGAACAGAAACGATGAACCTAGCTGAAGAGCAGTTCCTGGGAAAATGACTTGGGGGGCTTTATCCATTATACCTACTGATAGACCAACCACAGTGATTTTGGCTTGGAAAAACGGAACAGAGTCTAACTTAGACTTTGTTAACAAAAGTGTAGCATACAATTCAAGGGAAGTAATTAATTGCTTCTACAGTCTTCTGACATGTTCAGACATTTTAATACAGATGGGTTTCTCTAAACATACTCTTGTATGCAGAACACAGAGTTTGCACAAAGGTGACACAAAACCAGTTTTGAAGAAATAAGAGGAAGCAGAGGGAACAGGAGGCACAAAGGTGAAGAGGCAAAAAACAGCACTGTAGGTTTGGGGAATTACAAATAGCCCTATATCTGGGAGGAATGAAAGGAATGGTGGGGGTGGGGGAAGTGAGTATGACAGTGTCTACAGTAGTAATCTCCCAGTTTTTTGATCCCACATCCTCTAAAAGAGTTCTAAAAAATTATGTACCCTTTCACAAAATTTTAAGTAATACCTAAAATTTTAAATACTTTAAATTGTCAAAACAGATATAATTCCCAGCAGATTTAAAATATTGACATTTAAAAATAAGCTGTCACATCACTCCTTTAAATGTCCTCAGTGGAATGTATCATACTGAACTGATACCCACCTACATCATCTCTCTGAAAAATAGAACGATAATAAATTCAAGTAGAGGAAAATAGAACTTTTCATCAAATCATTTTAAAAATAAACCAAAAAAGGCAAGCTGGGGTGGAAAAGATATGGGAAACACACTTAAATGAGAAAGGATACATATCCAGAATATATAAGGAACTATTATAAATCAATTAAGACAAACAACTTAATATATAAGTGGACAAAATATTGAAGTGGCTATTTCACATGAGAAATTCAATGGCCAATACACACGTTTAAAGGTTTTCAGGCTCATTACTAATTAGGGAAATGCTATTTAAACCACAATGAAACACCGTTAAATACCTACCAGACTGACAATCTACACTTAGAAGAGTGAAGCAGCTCCACTGGAATAGAGTTGACTTCAAATGATCCAAGACACCAAGCATAAATAAAAAAAGCAACTATCACCAACTCAATCCCTATGAGAGAATTTATCCTATTATATGTTAATCATTTGATTTATTTGATTTCTTACCTATCTGCCCACTAGATAATAAATGCCTTGAGGACTTCATCTTTGAATCTTTTCTGCCAAGTATGATTCTGGACACTTGCAAGTGCTTAACTAAATATTTGCTGACTGAAGGAATACCACCCACAGCCCAGCTTTGTAAGCTGAGCATCTAGTTCTCCCTCTACCTTGGCCAACAGCTTCCATCCAGGAAACCACATCTAGAACATCAGCGTGCTCCCTCTGGTAGTCCCTGCTGCTGGGTGTCAATCATATTCTCCACTCCATCAGACAAAGTCTATATAATAAACTGCAGGTAGGCAAGGAGTATCATCTACTTCTAAGATGTCTTCACAGGCATGAGTATTTTAGAATTTTTGTCTAAGCCTTGTGTTTGCTGAAATATACTCTACCTATTGAGCATTGTTGCAGTATGCCCACATGTCAGGTTTCTGACAGATGTGGTAAGTCTGGGAGCAGATGAAACAACTGGTGTCTGCATATAACGAAACTGTCGGGTGGACAGTGCAGAACTAAGGCAGGCATTCTTGGCACAGTTTCCATAGGCTGAAGACATCAAAATATTCAGGGGCCGTAAGATTCCTGTGAAGACAGAAACATATATGTTTAATATTATGTTCTAAAAATGCATCAAGATACTTAAAATCAAGTAATGTATCAAAGCAACCAAGTGTACATAATTAAGGTGTCCTCAGCATCACTTTCACCTGTGGAGCTTTTTACCAACTTCATTCAGGTATAACTTACATAAACAAAATTACCCATTTGTATACAATTCAATGCTTTTAATAAACTTAAGAGTTGTGTAACCATCACAGTCTAGTGTGATGTGTCTAGTCTATGTTCAACACTAGGGAAAACCACATGTAACATCGATGCCCACCTGCCAGATCTCATCTCTGGTAAGTCAGAACTGACACACAGAAAACAATGGCAGGGCAGAGATACAAAAGCCTGACAACTCTGGAGTGACAACGCTGTGGCAAGAGAAGGATTCATAAAGAAAACAGAGGAGGTACTTGAGCTCTCCAGAAAATGAACAGGCCACGAGGGAAGAGGTAGAGTCCAGGTAGGATGAACAACACACAGAGCTAAGGAGGCTGAAACAAATACATGTTTGGAGTGGGGAGTGGATGTGCCACAGAGGCTGAGTGCTGCTTGCCTGACTGTACTGGCGATGCCTGGGAAGAAGTAGTGAGGACTGAGGCAGGGCAGATCAGAAGGCAGACCACGGGGGCCTAGATGTGGGGACTGAACACAGTCCTCTTTATCTATCATTGTCAGTATGGCCACACTGAGTCCATGGCTACAAAGCTGAATTGCTCACAGATCCCTGACACCACTGGGAGACTGTGATCAAGTCTAGTGTGGGACTCAATGTGCACATTGAAAAACCTCCAAAGGATAACGGATTGGGCTGATAAGTGCACAACTCACTAAATTTACTATAGATTATCAAACTGTACACACAAACAGGTAGTTTATTATAAATTATACCTCAACAATTGGTTAAATAAAACCTCCAGAGTGAGTCTGATGCTCAGCCAGGGCTTAGAACTACACCTTATTGCCCACTGCACTGATTATCCATAACAAATGAGGGGCACCATGGTAGAGGAGTGCTAGTGTTTGACTCAGTCTGTTTGGGTTCTTATCTTAGCTCTACTACTTACTAGCTGTGTGACTGTGGGCAAGTTACTTAACCTCTCTATGTCCCAGTTTCCTCAAATTTAAATGAAGTTAATCATGGGGAGATAATAAGACTTAGATAAGATAAAACACGTAAAGTTCTAGGAAGAATGCTTAGCATAGAAAAAACATTTAATGAATGCTAACAGATAATAAAGAACAGCTGAGAAATGCTTGGCAAAAATGGGATAATGCTAACAGATGGCAGGAGATAGAATACTGAACACCCTTATTTTGCTTTCCTGTTCTCCATCAAAGATCAATTTTCAAACTGAAAAAGGCAGTATAAACATTGATGAATTAAGATGAAATCCAAGATTCAGGAGACTGGTGAAAGACTCACACCAGGCCCTTGAAGTCAGATTTTCTCTCCTCAGTGCAGGCATCGAAGTCTCCATACATAATTTATATCCCAAAGAACTGAAAACATTTGCAGACATGATTACAAGCCAGGAGGTAATCTTTGAAAGATTAAATGAATAAATGGAGGCAAGAAAATGTCCCAAATTTCACAGGCCATTAGGGTTTGTTATGTTTTCAGTTAGAAAAACAAATAAATAAAAAAACTGACATTTTTGGAAATCAAAGGAAGTGAGCAGATAGAGTCTAGATCATAAATAGGTAAGCAATAGGCTCATCTGTGGGAAAAAACACTAGAATAGATAAACAGAAAGTGCACACAAAAAATACTGTCAGGTGGGATCAAACTGTTCCTTAAAAAAGGATTTAATTTCATTTTCTGATGTAGTCACTAGCCTGGGAAATCATGAGACTGTCTAGACACAGTGTATCCTGACTTTAGGAAGGTAGGTGAAAAGGTTTCTTTATATTCAAAAAAAAATACAGAAATGTGGTAGGATAATAGTAGTTGGGTCAATTCTAAGCTGCTTAGCTACTATCCCCAAATTGGTTGATTGCTTTTCTTCTGGTGAAAGTCTCTTTCTGGCTCCCTAACAGACTTTTTTGTACAATTTTTATGAAGGTCCTAAGGCTGCATAAGGTAGACTTTATCAAATCTGCATAAAAACAAAGTAGGAACCATGGTTTATTAACATATTTGTGAAAAGATAGACTATCTGGACTGAAAATGATCTCCATAGAAGAAAAAAACAGATCAAAATTAACAAGTTGAAATCAGGGATAAACACAAGGTTAGAAAAAATAGTTACTGGAACAGAAACGATGAACCTAGCTGAAGAGCAGTTCCTGGGAAAATGACTTGGGGGGCTTTATCCATTATACCTACTGATAGACCAACCACAGTGATTTTGGCTTGGAAAAACGGAACAGAGTCTAACTTAGACTTTGTTAACAAAAGTGTAGCATACAATTCAAGGGAAGTAATTAATTGCTTCTACAGTCTTCTGACATGTTCAGACATTTTAATACAGATGGGTTTCTCTAAACATACTCTTGTATGCAGAACACAGAGTTTGCACAAAGGTGACACAAAACCAGTTTTGAAGAAATAAGAGGAAGCAGAGGGAACAGGAGGCACAAAGGTGAAGAGGCAAAAAACAGCACTGTAGGTTTGGGGAATTACAAATAGCCCTATATCTGGGAGGAATGAAAGGAATGGTGGGGGTGGGGGAAGTGAGTATGACAGTGTCTACAGTAGTAATCTCCCAGTTTTTTGATCCCACATCCTCTAAAAGAGTTCTAAAAAATTATGTACCCTTTCACAAAATTTTAAGTAATACCTAAAATTTTAAATACTTTAAATTGTCAAAACAGATATAATTCCCAGCAGATTTAAAATATTGACATTTAAAAATAAGCTGTCACATCACTCCTTTAAATGTCCTCAGTGGAATGTATCATACTGAACTGATACCCACCTACATCATCTCTCTGAAAAATAGAACGATAATAAATTCAAGTAGAGGAAAATAGAACTTTTCATCAAATCATTTTAAAAATAAACCAAAAAAGGCAAGCTGGGGTGGAAAAGATATGGGAAACACACTTAAATGAGAAAGGATACATATCCAGAATATATAAGGAACTATTATAAATCAATTAAGACAAACAACTTAATATATAAGTGGACAAAATATTGAAGTGGCTATTTCACATGAGAAATTCAATGGCCAATACACACGTTTAAAGGTTTTCAGGCTCATTACTAATTAGGGAAATGCTATTTAAACCACAATGAAACACCGTTAAATACCTACCAGACTGACAAAAATTTGTAGGTCTAACAATACCAACTGGTGGTGAGTAAGTGCAAAATATAGTGGTGGGGTGACTTTAATAAGCACATCATTTTGGAAGTATCAGGCAATGATGAATATATACATGCTCTCTGATTCAGCAATTCTACCGCTAGTTTTATGTAGAGCAACTTGCACTCATCTACTGAGACACAAGGTCCATCAGCTTTGTACCTAATGGTCCCAGACTGTAAACACCTAAATGCCCATCAGTAGTAAAATAGAGATTTGTAGGGTGGTCACATAAAAGACTATTTACAGCAATGAGGAAACACAGCTACATGCCAAATGAATGTAGCAAAGTAAAAGAAGACACGAATAGCACATACTGTGTGTTTCCATTCATGTGGAGTACACAGACAGATAAAACTAAATGCATTACTTAGAGATGCACGTAGATTCTAAAACGATTACAGAAAAAAAGACAAGGTAATAATAAAAAGAATAGTGCTTATATTCGGTAGAAATAGGGAACTTCGAATTCTCCACACGGGTGGAGAAGGGGCTTCTTGCAGTGTTCTATGTCCTGACCTGGATGTTAGTTAAACAGATGTTTGCTTTAGTTATTTGTTAATGTTAAGCCATTCATGTATAGTATATAAAATTTTATTTATATTTTTAAAGTAATTAAAAGTACACCTGGTAAACAAACTTTTCTGTAATAGCTGGAAATTTTACATCATAGCTTTTTTCTTATTTGTTTTTCTTTCACAGTATTTCATCCTAATTTATTTTATGGGAAAGTAATTTACTGATAATCTTATCATACCTGAATGACTTTTAAAAGTTCTCCCAGTTGAAGTTAACTTACTAACTAAATGAAGCTGCCTTTACACCTGTCATCTCTGTCATGAAATCATCATGACCGCCCTTGTGCCAGGGGCTGAATGAACAAAACGGCCACATTCCCCGCATATTGTGCGAATCTTACACGCCAAGCTTACTATGCCAGGCATTACGCAAGGCACTTTACGTACACGAGCTCATTTAGTCCTCAGGTGGATGGTATTACCCCGTTTTACTGCTGTAAAGTAAGCTTCTGAGAAATGACTTCAAGGTCAAAGGCCATGAGTGGCGGGTGGCAGCTTCTAAATCTGAAAGTTGGGGAGGACTTTTCTGTCTCCCTCGCCCCCACCCCCCATCCATTCCTTCTGATTTGTTTCTGGGAAGGCGGAACGGCTAGGCAACTGCGGGACACCTAGGTCCGCGAGGGTCCGAGAGTCTCGGATCTCCGGTGCAGGCGGCCGAATACAGGTAGCCAAGGGGAAAATTCGCGACGACACTTTGGCCTCAGACAACTACCCCCGCCCCCTTTTTAGCCTCCACACCAAACACCCAATCCGTCCTGTGCCAGTCACCGTTTTCTGTGAAGGAAAAAATCGAGCGCGTTGCTTTCACCAACCTGACGCGGCTCTCACGGCACGGGTGAAGACGGGAGCTGCCATCTTGCCTCCACGCCTACAGCAACCGCTAAGGGTCAAAAAGCGTCAGCACAAAGGGGGTTAAGAAAAAGTAATTTGGGTGGAGTCAAGGAAGGGGGGAAAAAATGAATAAAGGGGCAGTCAAGTCAGCCTTATTATTGAATGTCTTCAATATGTCAGGCTGTCCTCCATTGCTTGTGAATAATGCTTGGCATACAGTAGGGTCTCAAATTTTTATTGGGCGTTTGATTTAAAGTCCTATTTTCAAGTACACAATACATTTGAAGCACAATTTCTTTTTGCTCATTTGATTAAATTTATGAGAGAATAGAACTTATCCTTCCAAAGCTAGTATATTAAGTTAAATGAATGAGCAATATTGTTATTAAAAATTATTATTTTTAAAGTGAATGTCAACTATAAGCAAATGAATGTAAATATACTAAGGATATGGCACACACACACACTTTTTTCTAATCAGTAACACTGTCATCTGGTATAGCAGCATCTCAATTCTTTCCGCACAATTCTACATTTTATTCCCCCGAATTAGTGATCATACATTTTTTCTAATGTTAATTCAAGCAGAAAAAGAAAAAAACAATAAACACCTCTCCCATCCTTGTTGTCTAACATATTCCATGCATATACGATATATAACATTGTCTACTGGTTGAAATGTGTACAGGTCAAACACTGGATCTCAAGGAGTTCACATTTAATAAGGTAAGTACAGAACATAAATACAAGGTATAGATAAATGATTCACAGGGGCAGTTCAAACCTAAGGATAGTTGAAGAGGTCAGAGACAGGTAGTAGAATGTAACATGGGTCTTAAAGAATAGGGAGGATTTAAGAAGAGAAAAGTCATTCCATTCTTGGCAATAAGAACACCAAGAGCTGAAAAGAGAGGGAGTCAAGACAGAAAAACTCAGGATTTATTCACAGCAGTTATCAAACTTTTCTGTTTTAGAACCTCTTTATATGCTTAAAAATTGAGAACCCCAAAGAGCTTTTAATTAAATGGATTATATCTATTAGTATTTACTGGAAATTAAAACTGAGAAAAATTAAAAATAATTATTATTAGTTTCCTATTGCTGCCATAACAATTTACCACAAACTTTAAAAACAACACAAATTTATCATACAGTTCTATAGGTCAGATGTCCGAAATGGGTTTCACAAGGCTTTAAATCAAGATATCCAGGGCTGTGTTCCTTCTTGAGGCTCTAAGGGAGAAACTCTTGCCTTGCCTTTTCCAGCTTCTACTGGCTGCCTGCATTCCCTGACTTGTGGCCTTCTTCCATCTCCAAAGCCAGTAATTGCATCTTTCTGACTTCTGCTTCCATTGTTGTATCTACTTTTCGGACTCTGACCCTCCTGTCTCCCTTTCACTCCTAAGGACCCTTTGGATTACCCACACAGATAATCCAGGATATCCCCATCTCAAGATTCTTAAGCACATCTGCAAAGTTCTTTTTGTCATGAAAGATAAAATATTCAGATTCCAGGGATTAGGAGAATGTAGACATATTTGGGGATAATTATTCTGCCTACCACACAGACTGATTCATTTTAAAACAATTATAAACCTATTACATGTTACCATAAATATATTTATGAAAAATAACAATCCCCTCCAAAAAAAAATTAGTGATGAGTTGCAGAGTTTAACCTTTTTGCAAATCTCTTTAAGGCTGGATTATTAATAAACTGGATTCCGAAATTTGCTTGTGCTTTCAATGTTGTGATATTGTTTGTCATGTAGCTTCTGGAAAAACTACTGTACAATTATGAGATAATGAGTGAAAACAACAAATAACATCTGTGGGTAAAATTGTAATATTTCCAGAATATCTCGCCTGGCTTTAGTATATCTGCATATCAATAGGCGTTCAGAGGTGGAAAGAAGTATGGCTTTTAGTGCATTTGCATCATTCCTCAGGGGTGGAGAGTTCATATCCATGTTAATGGATAATTACCTGGGCATCAGGAGGGCTGGTTTTTGCTTCTGCAAGAGCAGGAGAAAGAAACGGCCCCGGACTGCAGTTTGTAAGCAATAAACAGATTTTAAACTTTATTTCTCCCTTTGACTGATTTCGGTATTTTGCCCCGGGATTTCCTTTCCCTGGACTTACAACATCTCAATATGATAAACATAGGTTTTAGCTTTATGGACCTTTTAAAAGGATCTCAGGCTACCCAGAGGTTCCAGATCACACTTGAGAACCAGTGAGATGGTTATACTTCAGTGTCTCTATGTTATAGGATATATAAGTGAGTGATGAACTTTGACTGCTATTTTTGCTATCTTGATCTACCATCTTATGATGGCCACTGTGAGCCTTAAAAACATCCACATATGCTGGAAAAGGACTTTTGAGACATTTCATAAAGGCTCTTTGAATTGGTAGTGGGAGTCACTGCACATTTTGAACAGGGAGTAATTTAAATATGAGTTACTTTTTAGGGGTATATTCTGGAGTTTGAGATTTTGAAGCTGTTGAATTTGCTAATGATGTTCAGGCCCAAGGTGTGCCTGTGTCATACATGTCTGGAGCACACTGAAATCGCTCAGTAGCATTGAGAGTTTTATGGCCAGGGTTTTAGAAAAGTCATCACACTGGCATCACCCAGCACGACATTACTGAGGAAGGGGTGGGGTGGGGAGGTTGCAATTTAGTTGCTAAATTTACTTAAAAGATGGGAGACTGCTCTGGAGGCTGTTCTTGATGGTGGTATGAACAGTGTTAATTACTAGAGTATTCAAACATAAATTATTTGACATCAGATCATTTTCAGATCCATTTCTCCATTTTACAAACGGATTGGGAGCATTATCTACTAGGGAGAACACCATACTGTAACGAATTACCTAATTAAGGCTTGAGGTTATTTTGCAAAACCAACAGAACAAGTTACTTAGTTTCTATATTGTGGTAATATGATTACTAGTACTAAGAGTATTGAATACTGTGTTTAGTATTTAACATGTTATATATCCTATTTACAGATTCAATGGAATATTCTGAACAGTGCTTCACTGACCGTATCGTCCAGATGGCGGCCAAAATGATCATTCTAAAATAAAAACTTGGTAGGGAAAGACATGTGGTTTAACCTTAAGAGGGTAGAAGCTGTGGGGCCGGAGGAGGAATCTAGGTTCCTACTCCTGCTCTGCCATTTATGAGATACGAAAACGGGACATTCCTAACAAAGGTCTTTCCAGTGTTCGCAGTGAAATGACTACTTGGAGGGCTGTTAAACGAAAACAAGAGCTAAAACCGAGACAAACCACTGTGTGAGTAACTCTGGCCGTTGATTCCTTTCTACGAAATATCCAGTAAGTTTTCTTGCTTGAAATCTCCAAAGTCACACCGGCCCGCTTTCCGCGCAGATCGCAACCAGAGTTTCTGACGACCTCCCTCCCGCCGCGTTCAGCTAGTAACGCCGGCTTCGGGATACTGTCGAGAAACCCCGAGAGCGACACGGAAGGAGAAATCGCCCTTTCCGCCAGGGACTACCCACCAGCGTCGACCGGCCTGGGCCGGGCCCGGGACACGGCTGCGCGTGCGCACTGGCTTCGGCGGCCCTTCCGGTGCGCCCGGCGCGGAGGCAGCCCGACGCACGCACGCAGGCCCTGCCCTATTAGCACCGCCGCCGCCCCCGCGTACACCAGCCAGCTCCGCACAGCCGGCAGAGATGTTGCGGGCCTGTCAGTTGTCCGGCGTGACCTCGGCCGCCCAGGTGAGCGCGGGGGTCCCGGGAGAGACCGCGTGGTGAAACTGACTGGGCAACCGACGGAAAATGGGAAGGCTTTCGCTTTGTCTAGGCCCCGGGCAGAGGCGTCTCAAGGCCGCCCTCACCGCGAGAGTCCCTGGCCGGGGTGAGGCAGTTAATTCGGAAGTCCACGCGACAGAACTGACTTAGGGTTATTGCTGAAGCGGGATGGGTTGTGGAAAGGAGAGGGTGGCGGGCAGGCGGGCGCAGGACGGGAGGCACGGCTTCGGGACGTGTCACCCAATCAGCCCTGCTCTGTCCCAGTCAGGGACCAATCGCGGCTACTGGCGCCCGGGTCGCCGGTTGGCGCGTGACAGGTCTTGCGCAGCCAGTGGTTGAAGGTCGACAGGGGAGAACTACAGTTCCCAGTAACAAATGCATAGCCTTAGCTTGTTGCATCTTTAATAAGGAGGTGCTTGGACTGCTAAGAGTACGCGTTTTAGGCATCAAGGTTGTAATTATTCGGGAGGGACTTCTTTTCGTAGCTGAGAACACCTCAGAGCGATTCTTACTATATAAACAAAATTGAAAGATTGTAGTTCACGAAGTTCAGACTCTTCAAGTACCGAGGAAGGACAGTTGTCGTGACCTTGTGCTCAGTTGAGATTAGCCTGCGGATCTGTGTCTCCAGGTGCCGGGACAATTTTGGCAGACATCCAAGGAGCCTAGACTATCTATGCGTAATTGTCAGAGTAACTTTCTGAAACAAAGTAAAAAAGTAGATAGATTGCCGTTCCTCATGATTTTAAGAAATTTGATGTGTTGGGAAAATGTGGTATTGCAGAACAGGTGCTGTGACTCAAGCAGTAATTGAGCAAAATCCCTAGACATAGTGAGTGAGAAATTGTGAAAGTCAAACTTTTTCTTTTTTTCCAAGTTTGCTTCTCTCCCTGTTCATTGCCAAGACAGGAGAAGCAGCCTCTTCCACAGAAAGGTGGGGACTATATTAGTATTCTCTTGCTACGTAACAATTACCACATATGTAGCAACGTAAAATAGCAGTCATTAATTATCTTAACAGTTTCTGGATATGAGTGATGTGGGTTCTCTGCTCAGTGTCACACAAAGCTGCAGTCAAGTTGTTGGCCACACTGTGGTTCTCACTTGGAGCTCAGGGTCCTCTCTTCCAAACTTGTGCAATTTTTTGGCAGAATTCAATCCCTTGACACTGTAGGACTGAAATCCCTGTTTTTTTGCCAACTTTTGCCTACCCTCCTCTAGAGACTGCTTGAAGTTCCTTTGCCACAAGCTCCTCAGAGGCAATTCATGACATGGATGTTTGCTTTCTTGCAGGCTACCAAGAGCTTGTCTCTGTGACAAAATTGCTCATAACTTTCCTGTTCCAGATACTTAGACCCAGATTTAAAAGGCTTAAATGATTAGGCCTGGCCCACTGCATGATGTACTTTTTGATTAATTCGGAGTCAATCGATTAGAAACCTGAAACACATCTGCAAAATCTGTTTTACTGTACATCCCTAATCTTGTGCTTTACTGCACAGGGCAGAGATGATGGGGGCTGTCTTAGAATCTGGTCTACTGTAGTATACCCAAGTGGGGCTAGAAGGATGGAGGAAGTTGGGGTCCCTTTCAGGGCAGAGCTGCTTTTCTATGGAGCCCTCCTTTCATGGCATCTCAGGTTACATCACAGTTATCACTGATCTCTCCCCTCTGCCTTAAAGTCCAAAACTACATTTTCCTTCCTTTATCAAAACATTTTCCTCTTACTGGGTTCTTAGTTAGGAAATTAGAATAAAACAGATGAAAACTTTGTGTTAAAATATGAGCCCTTTAGCTTGCAACCAAGATTTCTTACCTTCCTGAAATTGTTATCATGTAAAATTCATTGGTTTATCCTTACCATCTCCTCATTCTGTAGCATCTGATATTGTTGCATTGTCAAACTCTTCTGACTTTTCTCATGCAGTATCTTGGGTCCCATGATACCTTTCATTTCTCTTGTTTTCCTTTGTTGAGTCTGCGCCTTCCTTGAACCTCTAAATATACCCACAAAGTATTCTTTTTCCATCTTTCTTTGTAAAATTAAGACTTAATTTTTTTAGCGCAGTTTTAGGTTCACAGAAAAATTGAGGGGAACGTATAGCAATTTCCCGTACACTCTGTGCTGTCCCACATACACAGCATCTCCTCTTATCAACATTCTCCACCACGGTGGTACATTTGTTATAATTGATGAACCTATGTTGGCATATCACAATCACTCAAAGTCCATGTTTACATTAGGGTCCACTTTTGGTGTTGTACATTCTATGGGTTTGGACAAATGTATGACATGTATCTATTCATCATTATAATATACACAGTGTTTTCACTGTCTTAAAAGTTCTCTGTGCTCTACCTATTCACCACTCCCCCACCCACCTCCTGATCTTTTTTATTGTGTCCATAGTTTTGCCTTTTCCAGAATGTCATATAGATGGAATCGTACAGTATACAGCCTTTTCAGATTGCCTTCTTTCACTTAGTAATACCCATTTAAGATTCCTCCATGTTTTTTTGATGGCATGACAGCTCATTTCTTCTTAGCGCTGATTAGTATTCCATTGTCTGGATATACAAGAGTTTATTCACTTACTGAAGGACATCTTGGTTGCTCCCAAGTTTTGGCAATTAAAAAAAAAGACTGCTGTTAACATCATTGGCAGGTTTTTGTTTGGACTTTAAGTTTTTAACTCCTTTGGGTAAACACTAAGGTCAAGTTATTGGCCACACTGTGGTTGCTGATTTATGTGGTGAGAATTATGTTTATTTTCTTAAGAAAGTGCCTAAACTATCTTCTAAAGAGGCTGTACCATTTTGCATTCCCAGCAGAAATGAGAGTTCTTAATTGCTCCACATCCTCTTAAGCATTTTGTGTTGTCAGTGATCAGGATTTTGGCCATCCTGATAGGTGTGTAGTGGCATCTCATTGTTGTCCCATCTCTTTATGTACTATTAGTTGAGATTACACCAGTTCTCAGAACTTGAATCCCTTTGCAGTTCAGTCTTCAGTCTCTTCTGAGCTTTTTTAATTTCTAAATTATTTGATTTTGTCAACTTTATCCAGAATATTCCACTTGTCAAATTTCCATCTTCTTTCCATTCCATCAGACTTCATCTTCTTAAATGTCTTCTGGCTTTTACTATTGCCCTCCTAGAGTCAGTTCTTTACATAGTAGTTAATAAGAGATTTTTTAAAAACATGTAATAGATCATGTCATGCCTTTAAGTGTCATCCCAGTTTAATCAGAATAAAATCTTAACTTTTTACCACACCCACCAGGCTCTTCATGACCTGGCTTTTTTCTACTCTGCCTCATTCTGTTTTTCTGGTCTCTCATTGCATTTTTATTTGCTATTTTTTTTTTGCCCTGAAGTCTTCCCCCACATCTTTGTTTAGCTCACTCTAGTCATTCGGGTATTTCCTCAATTATCACCTTCCCTTCAGAGAGGCCTTCCCTACCTAAAGTAAACCCTGACTGCTTCCTTCCTTGAATCACTGTGACTTTAACCATATCCTGTTTTTTTTAAATTAAAAATTACTTTGTTGTAGAATAAATTACATATAACATTAATTTCAGGTGTATAATGATTGGATATTTGTATATATTCTGAATGATCACAATAAATCTAGTTAACATCCATCACAATTCATATTTATAAATTTTTTTGTGATGAGAACTTGTAGGACCATTTTTAGCAGTTTAAAAATCTACAATAATACAGTATTATTAACTATAGTCATCATGCTGTACATTACATCCCGTGACTTGTTTTATAACTGGAAGTAGTTCTCTTCCTTCCTCCCTCCCCTCCCCTTCCCTCCTCTCCCCTCCACTTCCCTCCTCTCCCCTCCAGTTCCCTCCCCTCCCCTCCCCTCCCCCTCTCCTCACTCACCCCAATCATAGGAGGGTTTCACATGAGCAATATTGTGGTTACTACATTCATCCATATTATCAGGTTTCCCCACACCCCACTGCAGTCACTGTCCATCAGCATAGTAAGATGCTCTAGAGTTACTACTTGTCTTCTCTGTGTTATACTGCCTTCCCTGTGACCGCCCCCCCCTACATTATGTGTGTTAATCACAATGCCCCTTAATCCCCTTCTCCCTCCCTTCCCACCCATCCTCCCTAGTCCCTTTCCCTTTGGTAACTGTTAGTCCATTCTTGGGTTCTATGGGTCTGCTGCTGTTTTGTTCCTTCAGTTTTTGCTTTGTTCTTATACTCCACAGATGAGTGAAGTCATTTGATACTTGTCTTTCTATACCTGGCTTATTTCACTGAGCATAATACCCTCCAGCTCTATCCATGTTGTTGCAAATGGTAGGGTTTGTTTTCTTCTTATGGCTGAATAATATTCCATTGTGTATATGTACCACATCTTCTTTATCCATTCATCTACTGATGGACACGTAGGTTGCTTCCATATCTTGGCTATTGTAAATAGTGCTGCAGTAAACACAGGGGTGCATATGTCTTTTTGAATCTGAGATCATGTTTCTCCTGGGTTAATTCCTAGGAGTGGAATTCCTGGGTCAAATGGTATTTCTATTTTGAGCTTTTTGAGGAACCTCCATACTGCTTTCCACAGTGGTTGAACTAATTTACATTCCCACCAGCAGTGTAGGAGGGTTCCCCTTTCTCCGCATCCTCACCAGCATTTGTTGTTCCTTGTCTTTTGTATGACAGCCATCCTAACTGGTGTGAGGTGATATCTCATTGTGGTTTCAATTTGCATTTCCTTAATAATTAGCAATGTGGAGCATCTTTTCATGTGCCTGTTGGCCATCTGAATTTCTTCTTTGGAGAATTGTCTGTTCATATCCTCTGCCCATTTTTTTATTGGGTTATTTGCTTTTTGGTTGTTGAGGCTTGTGAGTTCTTCATATATTTTGGATGTTAACCCCCTATTGGATGTGTTGTTTATGAATATATTCTCCCATACTGAGGATGCCTTTTTGTTCT